TCATGTTAAGGATGGTAAGTCCGACGATAAGATTGATCCACCAAAACAACCTTTTGAGCAATTGGCCACTGATGACGTTATCCTTGCAAAAGGGTCGGAGCATTTTGGAACGGGGATAGGTGGGGTTAAAACACATCATGTGGTTAGGGACCTTTACTCTGGTGCACGAATAGCATATCCCCTATCAAAAAGAGATGTTGAATCACATGCCAAAAATTTTCGACATTTCGTGGGATTGAAAGCCAATGAACTTGCCACCCACACACTTATCAAAATGGACGAAGCACAGGAATTGGAGCAGGCTGCCCATCAGGTCGGCTTCGTTCCTGAGACGTCCCTTCCCAACCGTTGGCCGCACAACGCTCTCCTAGAGCGCGACATCCGGGAAGAGAAAGAGTGTTGCAGGGTTGTTCATTTGCAATCTGGTTTGCCTTATGAGTATCACACTTATAGTTACCCATACGCATGCCTTTCCATGACTTTTGATAGACCTTCTATTGTGGATCCTGAAAAGACCCAATGGGAAGCTCTTACACGTGAAAAGTTTGATGGTAAGCGTTTGTGTTTTGGTCAACTTGTGTACTATCGCAAGAAGCATCCAACAAAAAGGACCTTAGAACCCAACATGGCTCCTGGTTTGTTTCTTGGTTGGCGAATCGATTCTGGTTTTCGTTATAGATATGTTGTTCGGATATTAGATTATCAAGAGTTTCGAACTAGAGGTGCTTCATGTGTTTCCGATGTACCCGAGCCTGAACTATACCTTCCAGATGGTGATGCCTATTTTCCCGTTGGTTTTTCGAAGCATCAGGCCTTAATCAGGGGGGATGATCCCGATGATGTTAAACTCCCTGAAATAGCCCTGCAAAATGTTCCGTTTCCACCAGACGGCGGTTTAGCTTCCCCATCTACACCCGGTCCCAAACCTAGATCGGTTTATATCACCTTAGACCGCATCATAAAGTTTAAGGAGACTCCCGGTTGTACAGGGGGTAAGAATAAGACTCGGTACCATAATGCAGAGTGCCGCAAACGGTTCCAGAAACTAGTTGATGAAGAAAAGGAGCTGGAAGCCAAGTCAAAGCCCATAACAGAGTCGGTAGCTGTCGAACCTCCTAGCGAAGTTCCCAGTGCGCTTGAGGATGCCCCCGTGGGACCACCACCGGAAGACGGCATATTTGATGATGAAGGTGAAATCACAGTTGCCGTTCCTTATAGTGTCTCTGGTGCTGCCACTTTGCCCCAGACCGCTCCCAGCCGTGCTGAGCTAAGTAGGGATTCCTTGCCAGTGTTCGGTGCACAGCCCGTGCCTGCATGTCCCGCAGCTAATCAGCCTCCTAAGAACAATAATAACCGTCGTAAACGACGCGCCTTGAAGAAAAGCCAGAAATCCAATGAGAGATCAACACTGTTTGAGTTTGCATGTTCCCTCAACTCACAGCTTGGGTTGACAAGTGAGCAATGTAACATAAATCACATTGGGTTGTGCAAGGAAAGGATAGACTTGAGTGATGAGAATCAATGTTCCCAACTTGATTATCAAATAGGTGAAGCCGCAAAAGTTGCACCGCCTAACCTTTGGTCGTCCATACCATGCACGTCTGGTTCTCCTTGGCAGTATATCAATAGACGGAAGGGAGGAGCTGCTTACATGAAAAGATTAGCGCTCCAACTCCGAGAATCGAAACGACTTTTCAAAAGCTTTTCCAAAAGGGCAGAATTAGTTTTGAAACTAGGAGGCACTGTTTCTTTTGAATGGCCACGTCCCTCAACTGGCTGGAAGAGACCAGATGTCGTAGCTTTCTTTAATTCTCACCCTGAGTTTATGGAAGTTGATTTCGATGGTTGTGCAGTAGGTCTTAAGTCCAAGAAGGGTGTTCCCATCAAAAAGCCTTGGAGAGTCCGAACCACTTCCCAAAGAATAGTAGATGTTTTTAAGGATAAAAAGTGCAGTTGTGAACAACCACATGAAAAGTGTGAAGGTTCGGAAACGGCGCGATCAGCTATGTATCCCCCAGAGATGGCATTTTTGATTACTCAAGCGCTGTACCCTGCTAAGTGTTCCCAACAACATGCTCCCGCAATGCCATGCGCTCCACTTTCAACCGAACCCCAAGAGCACCGCGAAGTTGAACAACATCTCAAACATGTGTCCCCACTAGCTGGTTTTGAGGATCTTGCAGTTGCCATTGAAACGGATCCAACAGTAAACTGCTTAGTGTCGGAGCTTCTAGACCATGAGCGTTTGTTGTCACAAGCCTTCGGGCATGAAGATAACAATGAACCCTCCCAAGAGGTTCAAGCCATGGTAACTAAGTTGCTTTCTAGGGCCGAGATGTTATCCAACCCCCAAGCCCTTGATGCTGTTAAGGCCGAGGCCGATGGACTGATCAAGGCGGGAACGTGGTCACTTGATTCCGTTCGGGAAAAGGAAGATGTACGCGCCGAGGCCAAGCGCACAGGAGTGTCCGTTCATTTCGGGCAACTCATGACCATAGCATCCATTAAATTCTTCGAGCTTGCGCAGCATCTGCAAAAGATGAAGGGCAGGATCGTCTATCGAGGCGACTGCGCAAAGGATGAACATGGTGCTGCGGCGGTCTCTACCAGGAGCTAGGGGCAAACCCGACTTCGGTCCAAGGTTTAAATGCCTGTTTAGCATACGGTTCCTTGCCAGGCAATAGCTCATCTGCAGCTGATGCTGTTAAGGCTTACGTTCAAGCACTCCTGTCTTCAAAGTATAAGACCTGGATAGAACTTCCGCCTGAGCTAAGACCAAAACATTGGCGAGATAAGTTTGTTAAACCCGTAGTCCTCCTAGTTAAAGCCTTATACGGTCATCCTGATGCCGGTGGCCTTTGGGAGCAGCACTTAAAGAAAATTATCCGCAACCTAGGTGGCCAAGAGGTACCTGAATACCCCGGTAACTTCTTTTTCCCAGATGCTAAGTTGTTGCTTTCCACCTATGTAGATGATCTCACGCTTGCTGGTCCCACTGACCAACATGATGCCTTCTGGGCAAAGCTGACATCCGTTGTGGATATTGAACCACCTGAACCAATATACCGAATTTTAGGTCGCAACCATCTAGTAATGCCATTGCCCAAGACCGAAGGTTCCGAGGAATGTGCTGCGTTTCGCGCACAAGAAGCCCTAGTCTTTGACATGCTAGATTATGCACACCAAACAGTTGACCCTTACAAGTCCATCACCAACACCAAAAGTTTGAAGCATGCTGCCACCCCTTTTGTCCCTGATGGTTCTGTCTCTGTTGAAGATGAAGAGGCTAAGGGTGAACTGGCACCCAATGCATGCCGCATTCTCATGAAGGCGTTGTGGCTTGGTCGGCTGTCCAGACCTGACATAATCAAACCTATTAATGATTTAGCCACTAAAGGTGCAGTCTTGGTCCAGGGGGGACGATAAGAGGTTGTTAAGACTCATCCAATACATAGACTCTACACCCCAATACCGCCTAGTGGGTACCATCAAAGATAATCCCGAAGATCTTGAGTTACGTTTATACGTTGACGCAGATTTCGCCGGTGACCGTCTTAGTGGAAAATCTACGTCCGGTGGGTATTTAGTTCTATATGGGCCTAACTCCTTCTTCCCTCTTGCGTGGGTTAGTAAACGCCAAACATCCACATCCCGTTCTACAACAGAATCTGAGGTGGTTTCATTGGCTTATTCCCTTTACCAAGAAGGCCTGCCGGCCCTGCAACTCTGGGAGCTTCTCCTAGGGCGCACCGTGACGCTTAGAGTCTTAGAAGATAACCAAGCTACCATCCTGGTAGTACGTAAAGGTTATTCCCCTAAGCTTAGGCATATCACTCGCACCCATAAAGTAAATCTGTCCGGCCTTTCAGAAGTCTTTCGAGACGACTCCGCAGAGCTTGAATATTGCCAAACCGACCATCAAGCTGCCGACATTTTTACTAAGGCGTTGCCACCCCAAAAGTGGGCCCCGGCACTGCGCTTGCTTGGCATCCGCGTAGATTTAGGTAGTGAGCTGAAACCCAGGGAAGGGGCAGCTACCTAGCGCCCTAACCTGTATACTAGTTGCCAGCGTTAGATCGGGTAGGGGGGAGTAGAAATATTACGACCCCTATACCACCACTGTATATACTAGTATTAGCTCACTCCACACTGTAGCTATGATTCCAACTTACTAATGATGTTGTACAGTCATCGCAATTCCAACATTCAATGTATATAGCCATGTACATAGTAACGGTAGCATTATCCCCAATCCAGTCGGGTTTAATGCCATAATCCGTAATTACATGGCTCAAGTGCTTAGTACAAAATAAGTGCTTGTGATCTATGGGGCAAGGGAGATTAACTTGTGGTTTTGTGTTTTTCCCCTTGTTTCTCTATATACATATATAAAATCATCCCGTCATCTTATTAAGCATGTTATTAGTTAGGTAAACTAAATAAAACTCATCTAAATATGCATCCCCAACCTTGGATGGGTAGTTTAATCCTGTCGTTTTTTTCCCCCCTATATATATATATATACATGGACATATACCTAAACAGCAAGATACTTTTTGTGGACCAAAACTTGACCATGTATCTGTTTGAATCATCCCATCATCACTGTTGACCTAATCTTGTCTGGAGTAAATGTCCAAAAATGGAACATCAACCAACTATTGGGGATGTAATCTCCACCGGATGCGGCTGAACAGGTGCTTGAAAGATCTTCTAACAGATCACTTGGGATCACTATTTTTAAGGGTGATTCCGATCCATCTATTTGGGTCTTCAAAATCCCCCCAAACTGGTCATCAAGCTCCATCAAAATCCATGAAAAATCCATGAAAAACCCATGACAAATCCATGAACAATCCATGAAAATACATGAAAAATCCATGCAAAATCCAGGAACACCCATGAAAATCCATGAAAACCCATGAGCATCCATGAAAAATCCATCAAAATCATCAAAATCCATGAAAAATCCATGAAAATCCCAAGGTCTGCTGCGCCAGGTTTCCTTTGGAAGTGGCTTGTTGGCTCCGTGATCTGGGCGTGGTGGCCTACATTCTTCGTCTCCCTGGCCGCACCATGACATGGTGCTGAAAATTCCAATGTGAATGGCAGTTACCCATAGGAAAATGGGAAAACATAGGAAAACCCATAGGAAAACCCATAGGAAAACATAGGAAAACCCAGAGGAAACTGGAGGTTTAGCCTCTGGCAATTGAACAGTTTGCCATGGAACATATTCCATTTATATTTATAGATGATTTACATGAATTCAGAATGGTTATTTTCCATAGCTATGTTAAATTACCAAACCGTATTATCATAAAGTCACTTAGGCATACTTAGGCCATATAGATACCCTCTGGTAAACTAACATAACTATAGAAAATTACATTTTTTAATGGGTAAATAAACTATAAATGAGCCATTTTCCATAGTTTTTTGTATGTTCACCAGAGGCTATTCGATTGGTATTACCAGAAATTCACATAGTCTATTACCAACATTATAGCGTATTATCATTAGCATTATGATAATTGTTAGTGGTACTAAACATATGGTTATGATAACATTATTATAGTCATAGCAGTCGATTTATTATCATTATGATGCTAACATTGTTTGCTATATCTGTTGGTAAAACAACAATAAACCACCCATTTGGGAATGGTTTATACCACCAATAGAAATGGTGATGACTGGGGGGTGGTTTATGGTATTGTTATACCCACACTATATGGTTGGGCTTGCTTCATAATCTATGAATTATTGGTCATTCTGATTGTGTTTTTAATGTTAAATCCACAGTAAATCATATAGGGTCAATTGGCAACGCGTTGGAACCATAGCCATGTCCGGTTAACTTGCGTCAGGCTAAACCAGGGACTGTAGTGGATAGAGGGGATAGATATGATTTTCCATTGCAGACAGATGGCGCTCTTGCTTCTATTGACTCTACTGGATGAAACTTACTTTCGGTCAGGTCGCCTCCGATTTGGTGCTTCACTTGGGTTGATGAATTTGAGCTGAGTGACTCACCATTTGAGCTGAGTGACTCACCAGTCTCTAGTTATTTTCATCCATGATCAGCCAGATTTTGGTGAAACCCCGTTCCAACTCAGCCAGATTTGCGGCTTTGCCTGTTTCAACATTTGAGGATATCGCTTACGCAGCGAAGGCCACTTCTGGCCAGCGCAGCTGGAGGATTGCCAGTTGGCTCTGCAGATGATGCGCCACGACGCAACGCAGATGGGTTTTCAAGCGAGCAAGCGCCCTGGACACATGTGTATCTGGCATCTGGTAAGTCATCGGGGGTTTCAAAGATGTTCAAAGCCTTTCTATATTTTG